CCTTCTTCCTCCTCAACCCGTTTCTCGTCGATTTGAATCGACGATTCGAACGAGCGAGATATCAAGGGAAAGAATAAGGGCGAGAATAATAATAACAGTAATAGGTGTAATTAACGATGGATCGGACGGTTGCAGGGCCTCAGCCACGCGAAGGCGAAAGAGAATCTGGAGAGGGACGGTCCAAACTCGCTGACACCGCCGAAACAAACGCCGGAATGGGTGAAATTCTGTAAAAATCTGTTCGGCGGTTTCGCGTTGCTGTTGTGGATCGGCGCGATCCTCTGCTTCATCGCGTACTCGATCCAAGCGTCGACGAGCGAGGATCCGAACGACGACAATCTGTACCTGGGCATCGTGTTGGCGGCGGTCGTTATAGTGACGGGTATATTCTCGTATTACCAGGAGAGCAAGTCGAGCAAGATAATGGAATCGTTCAAGAACATGGTACCCCAAATAGCGATCGTGATCAGGGAAGGTGAGAAACTGACGTTGAAGGCCGAGGAGTTGGTGCTGGGGGACGTGGTCGAGGTGAAATTCGGCGATCGTATACCGGCCGACATCCGTATCATCGAGTCAAGGGGATTCAAGGTGGACAACAGCTCGTTAACAGGTGAATCGGAGCCCCAATCGAGATCCCCGGAGTTCACGAACGAGAACCCGTTAGAGACGAAGAATCTCGCCTTCTTCTCGACGAACGCCGTTGAGGGAACCGCGAAAGGAGTGGTGATCTGCTGTGGCGATCAGACAGTGATGGGAAGGATTGCTGGCCTGGCATCCGGCCTTGATACTGGTGAAACGCCGATCGCTAAGGAGATTCATCATTTCATCCATCTGATCACGGGGGTAGCCGTATTCCTCGGTGTAACCTTCTTCGTCATAGCCTTCATACTCGGTTACCATTGGCTCGACGCTGTCATCTTCCTGATCGGTATAATCGTTGCCAACGTGCCGGAGGGTTTGCTGGCCACCGTCACCGTTTGCCTCACGTTGACCGCGAAACGGATGGCCTCGAAGAATTGCCTGGTGAAGAATCTCGAGGCGGTCGAGACGTTGGGCTCGACCTCGACCATCTGCTCGGACAAGACGGGCACCCTCACCCAGAATCGTATGACCGTTGCCCACATGTGGTTCGACAATCAGATCATCGAGGCCGACACAACCGAGGATCAATCCGGATTGCAATACGATCGCACGAGTCCCGGCTTCAAGGCTTTGGCGAAGATCGCCACTCTGTGCAACCGCGCCGAGTTCAAAGCCGGCCAGGAGGACAAGCCGATCCTGAAGAGGGAGGTGAACGGCGACGCGTCCGAGGCGGCCCTGTTGAAATGCATGGAGCTTGCCCTTGGCGACGTGATGGGTATAAGGAAACGTAACAAGAAAGTGTGCGAGATCCCGTTCAACTCGACCAACAAGTACCAGGTCTCGATCCACGAGTCGGACAATCCGGACGATCCTAGGCACCTGCTCGTGATGAAGGGCGCGCCGGAGAGGATCCTCGACCGTTGCTCGACCATATTCATCGGCGGGAAGGAGAAGGTGCTCGACGAGGAGATGAAGGAGGCGTTCAACAACGCTTATCTCGAGCTTGGCGGGCTTGGTGAACGCGTGCTCGGTTTCTGCGACTACATACTGCCGTCCGACAAATTCCCGATCGGCTTCAAGTTCAACTGCGACGACCCGAACTTCCCGGTAGACGGACTCCGCTTTGTGGGCCTGATGTCTATGATCGACCCGCCCAGGGCTGCGGTGCCCGACGCGGTCGCCAAGTGCCGTTCAGCCGGCATCAAGGTCATCATGGTAACCGGTGACCATCCGATCACTGCCAAAGCCATTGCCAAATCTGTCGGCATCATCTCCGAAGGTCTGTTCCTCTTGATTACTCTCTCAGAAACTAATTCGCTTAATAGCGAATAGTAGTAATAGTGGTAGTAGTATTAATAGCGGTGCTTGATATCTTCGATATCTTCTGAACCGATACTTTGCGATATTCTCGATTCCACCGCTGAAAATTTAGAGTAGGGAAGATTGGGATTTTTGGTTGGAAGGAAAAAGAAGAAAATGGAAAGTTGAAAATGTTGTTTGCGATTCTCAGGTAACGAGACCGTCGAGGACATTGCTCAACGGTTGAATATCCCCGTATCCGAAGTCAATCCTCGCGAGGCCAAAGCCGCCGTCATCCACGGAACCGAACTCAGGGAACTGAACTCCGACCAACTGGACGAGATCCTCAGGTACCACACCGAAATTGTGTTCGCCCGTACCTCGCCTCAGCAGAAGCTGATCATCGTCGAAGGCTGCCAGCGAATGGGTGCTATCGTCGCTGTCACCGGTACGTCATATTAATCGATCGATAACCGATTTCGTAAATTGATCATCAATCTCGCTGATCCTCCTTCTAAACCTCCTCCTAGATAATAATGATAAATCGATCCAATTCGCGAATTCCCGTATCTTTTCCTCCTTCTCCTTCTATCTATTATATGGAAATATTCGAGAAAAACGGGACATTACCCCCCGTTGTTCGGTCTCGTTCGTTCCAGGCGACGGCGTGAACGACTCCCCCGCGTTGAAGAAGGCCGACATAGGCGTAGCAATGGGTATCGCTGGCTCCGACGTGTCGAAGCAGGCGGCCGACATGATTCTGCTCGACGACAACTTCGCCTCGATCGTGACCGGTGTCGAGGAGGGCCGGTTGATCTTCGACAACCTGAAGAAGTCCATCGCGTACACCCTCACCTCGAACATCCCCGAGATCTCACCCTTCCTGGCGTTCATCCTGTGCGACATCCCTCTGCCCCTCGGCACCGTCACCATTCTCTGCATCGATCTGGGAACGGACATGGTGAGTAAACACCATTTGCTTCGCCTTCCTTCCGTTTTCTTCGACCTCTCGTCTCGATCGCGCCCCATCGATCGATCATCCCCCCCTCCCCGCATTTCGGAGGGGGCCGAGGCGCGGTGCCGAAATTCCAATTCGAATTCGTCCTCGACGACACTCCTCCACGAAAATAGGAGGAGGAGGAGGAGGAGGAGGAGGAGGAGTTTTTTCGATCGGGATCTTTTGAGACGAGATGTATTCGCATCTCGAGCGAGGATAATTTCAAGATTTTCAGCACGCGTGTTGTTTCGCCAAATGGGCTGGGATACGAACGGATATAACGTTCGATTATTGTAATTATTGTCGTTGTTTATAACGGAATGATTGCCAGGTGCCGGCTATTTCGTTGGCGTACGAGCATGCCGAGTCGGATATAATGAAGAGAAGGCCTCGTGATCCGTACCGTGACAACCTCGTCAACGAAAGGTTTCTCTTTCCCTTCCCCGAGGAAAAGATACAGCTTTTCGGAGCACAATTGTTGTTGTTTAGATAGAGCTCCCGGGTAATCGCAGTATCGCCAGATCGACCCGTAGGAGGCACGATTGGAAGCTAGTCTCATCGCGAATTTGTTGTAACTGTTTTTTTTTTTTTTTTTTTTTTTTTGATTTAATTTAATCTAGGTGGCCAATTTCGCGTTTCCTCTGCGGAAGGATCGGGAGGAAAAATAAAGGAGATCATTTTTTTTCTTTTTACATCGAATCTTATCGACGCGAGGATCCTCCTTCTGATCGAGATTCGTTCCTTTTTCTCTGTTTAATCTTGGAAAAAATTGTTCTTTTAGAGTATATATATATATATTTTTATAACGATCTCGTTCGGATCTCGAATTAGAATGAGAATACTCGTGATTTCAGGTGTAATTATATTTTTTCCAGCTCGATTTCACGAGGTTTTATATATATATATAACAAATGTCTAAAAAAGGAAGAGAATTGGACGGAATTTGGAAGGATCGAACGAAAAAAACCGCCTCCACACGAATCCCTTCATCCCTCGTACACCATCCCGCCTCGTTGCTCCTATCGATTTAGTTCTCTCAGTTTTGATTTTTTGCTTACCTTTTCTGCGTTTCTCATCATATGTTGCTCACTGAGTCGCAAGAATGCTGATTGAATTTCAAATGCACGACACAACAGAATTTATCTTATTTTACATTTTCGCCAATTATAATAAAAATTCTTTTCTCGATTCTCCATCTTTTTTTTTTTTTTTTTTTTTTTTTTTTTTCCCCTCGAAATGGAGAACGGAAATTAATCAGCATCCTTGTATCGCGGGTCAGCGAGAAAACGATACTCATCATCATCATCATCATGTTCTAACCGTTGGCGTTGTTACTTGAGCCTTGATTGATAATGTGACGTCAGGTGCCAGCCATCTCACTTGCCTACGAGGAGGCAGAGAGCGATATTATGAAGCGACATCCACGAAACCCGTTCACTGACAAGCTAGTTAACGAAAGGTAACACATCAACAAACATAAACCGAATCTTGACCAAACAAAATAAAAAAAAAAAAAAAAAGAAAGAAAGAATAAGAAAGATACTCTTACTATACTTACTACTGCTACTGTTACTACTACTACTACTACTACTACTATTACTACTACTACTACTATTACTACTACTATTACTATACAAATACTATTACCACTACTTTACACCATGATCGACTTTTTATGGTCAGAAAGCGTAATTGGTGACGCGTGATCTCTTGATTCTTTTCCCTTCTTTCTGATAAATTAGATATATATATATATATATATATTCATCAACAACTTTCTATCGTTGTTATTATTTTTTTTTTTTTAAATAATCGTGTAACGAAGAACGTAAGAATATGGATCTAAAAAAAAAAAAAAAAAATTGAAAGAATATATATTTGTAAATATATACGTATGCAAAATCTATAATATCAAGAATCGAAAGATCACAAAGATCTCCATTACCTGTCTATTGGTCGTGTATACACCTCTTACTTATTCCTATGATTATTGTACAGTAGCTAGTTCGTTCTGTCTCGTATATACTCGTTCTCGAACACTTTAAAAAGAAAGAAAAAAAAAATATATATATAATTAAAACAAAGGGATACATAATAATACGGGCACAGAGATTTTTCACGACACGTTTCTCAATATTCTGCAAGATCGTAAAAAAAAAGAAAATGTACTCGTTGTCTCGTCACGAGCAGAGACCTTCGTGGTAACTGTGGTAACGAGGTGACAACGAATTTCTCTCTCTCTCTCTCTATCTCTCTCTCTCCCTCTAACTATCTATCTCTTT